TTAAGTATTTTTAGGCATTAGATCAATAATATATTTTATAAATAAAGACTTTATATTCTAACAAAGATTGATATATAAAATATATACATATATACTCCAATAGAAGCTATTGATGGATGATCACTTGCATCTAGAATTGTTATTAAAAAAACTAAGCTATTAAGAGTTTTATTTAGAAATCAAGTATCACATATTTTCGTCAAAATTATTTAATAATATTTAAATATAAAATTATTTGGTCTTTTTATTTAAATTATTTAAAATTAATATCAATTAGAAATTTTATGTAATTTATTTAAGATTTAGTCTAAAAACTAGCAAACCATCTTCATCCTTATGTATTAGAGTTAATCTATTTATACAAGTTGCAAAGAAAATAAATCCATTTGTCATTTATGAAACATTAAGTCTTTATTCAAATAGAGATTGTAATAGATTCTTGTGGAAGTATAAATAATATTAAGGTTTATTTTTTAAAAATATATTAATATATTACCAAAATATTGATCTAATGACTATATAATTAATCTTTAAAAAAGAAATTAACTACAATTAAAGCCAATTTATAATTTATTGCAAAGCATACTTATTTCTTTAAAAGAACTTATTAATAAAAATCTTGCAAAGAAATTTATCTAAAAATAAAGATTTTTTTACAAATATGGACTTATCTTCTTTGTAAAAAATAAATTAAAATTAAAATTAAATATGAAAAAATTATTATAGACTTCATAAATTTAATATCAAGAATTTTTTGTTTTTTTGTCTTTGATATTGGATCTTCTTGATTAATTGAATGAAACTAAGATCTATACTAAGATAAATCTATGTAAATTCTATAATCTAGTATATATTAAAAATATAAAAAAAATAAAGATAAGATTTCATTTCAAACTTGATATGGCTATTATAAATATAATGTCACTTTTTTTGAACTTATAATGCATCAATTGTTTTTTAGGATTTCATGAACAATGTATTTTGTGAGTTTTCAAATAATTTTGTTGTTTGTTTTTTTTGAAAATATTCTTATATTTTCTATAAAAATAGAAAAAATAAAAAACATAAAAAAAATTATATGTCAAGCTAAAGAGATGTGTAAAATTTGATACAAAAAAAGTGAATTTTTTTGGACTATATTATTTTTGTTAATTTTTTTAAATAGATTATAGATAAATAACTAAAATAACTACACAAGATTATGGATTTAATAAATCTATTAACTACACAATATTTTTAATATATTTATTAGAAACATTTAAACTATTATTAGATATTCATTAAGCATATTTATAAGTTGATACTTCACTTACATAATGAACTTCAAAAACACAAACTAGAATAGAGTAGAGAAAATAGAATAATCATTTCAAGGTTTGAAAATAGCTTTTTTCCTAGTTTATTTTTTCTAAAGCTTAAATTTATCTATGCCATTTTTTTTATGGAAATAGATGCAACTAACTTTGTGCTAGATGCATTTTATTGCAAGTAGATGATAGACTTCATCCTATTTCTCTTATTTAATAAAATTCTAAACAATCAATATAAATTATAAGATCTACAACAAAGAAAACCCTTCGGCAATAAGAATTTGATATTTATCGAATGCTATACTCAGCAAGAGTCCCTGCAGCCCAAGCTCTTCTTAGGGAAAGCATCTCCAGCAATATTCGAAAATAATTCACTGGGAAGTGTTGAAGACCACTTTGAAATCCACGATGAGGACGAAATTTCAGTAGAAACACCAAAAGTGGAGATGCAGAAGCCCGGAGCATCTGAATCAAGCATTTTACCAGAAATCTCGTTGCAAAAGGAAGTCAATATTACCTAAGATTGGAACTACCACGAAAAGCAGTATCATTAACAATAAAATAGGGTGTCCATTTTTAATATTGTCATCGAAGTTCATTTTACATTGACAGTGCAAGTGCCAATTCTACAAATTTCCACAATATGAAATTCATAACGCCTTCAAGACACAGCAGGAAGGAGTTAAAAAGTCTCTTCATGTAGAAGTGAAGGAGGAAAATAACTTAAAGTCAATCTACTGTTTTTGACTTCCGTAATAACCGAAGTACACAGACTTTTGGGTTTTTCTAAATTCGTTCTACTCCATCTAGTGGAGGTGAATCTGAACAACAATCTACTAATAGTTGCGTCCCAACCCTCGCTATTGGTCAACTATTGTTTCGTTTTGTTTTATGTGAAGAGAACGGAGAACAATCTTTCAAGGTTGAAGAGGACCATAGAAAGGAGACGAGGACGCAGCCGCAGCCGTGGGTCTGGGGCATGTTATGAAGCAAGTAGACGACGGTGTCGAGATGCGCGGGCGCTGTCGTTGGCGTTGCAGGATATGCGCTGCACTTCCAAGGGCCTCGGGGATCAGTAACAGTGCATGCTCATAGAATATTTCCCTGTGGCTCTGTCACCAGCCCGTGTGGTTCATCCAGTAACTTGCAACACTGCGGGTCGATTCAACACACACCATTTTCAGGCATTTGGTCTACAACTCCTCATCCTGCATTGTCCTGGAAAATCGATCGATCAAGATCTGCATAATATTAGAATTTCTAGCAACCGGCTTGAATTGCTGACCCAAGTCAACGAGCGCAATTGCACGCTCCACCGCGTACGTCATCAACCCCCCTTGCAAGCGCACAGGTCGAAGCAACTGAACCTAATTAGAGGTTGAACTCGGTGCTGTTCCAGCGCAACCTCGAAAGGTCGGTGGGAATATTCGAAACCACGGCCTTCGATTCGGCCATGCGCAAGATTCTGCACATCGCTACAAGAGCAAAAGCTACATCCAGAATGTGAGGCATCGAAACAGAGCTAGTGCTACGGTCCTGGCTCTGCACCTATCCTCCAGCACCCCACCAGAACGATAGATCCTCGACGAGCATAGGATGTGTCCTAGAAATGAGCGGCGCGTCTAGAATTGCGTCGTGGGGGCCATATTAGTGACGCTGACTCCTGGATATCTTGCACACTCGTCGCCGTTGCTATTATTTCCTCGTGGGCTTGGCTTAACGGGGCCAAACTCAATTCAATCTTTGGAGGGGGATGGTGTTGTGTGGAACTCTATGCTTTGGATCAATGACACAGCATTAGACATGAACTGCATTTAACATAGACAGTGGTTATCGGCAAAGGGGTGTGCCCTATTGTGTTTCAATTGTGTATGGCTATTTATTTTATTTTATTTTTTGACTGCTGCTGAATGGACTTGTACACTTTTAATTTTAAACTTCGTGTGAATTCAAAAGCATCGTATTATGGGGGGGTGGGGTTGTGGAGATGTAAGGAGTTTGGTTGTCACTTTTTTATCTTGTGATGTTAGATTGATGACATGATAAAACACAATGCTAAAATTGTAAATAAAGAAGAAACTACTCCATGTTGGAGAGCTGCTACTTTGCAATATGTCCTTGTAACATGTCTTAAGGTTTGGCTTTATCCTAAAAGAGGATAGAAATAATGTAACTTCATTGGTTTTAGAAGGGAGGACTTGTGGAGATCTAAGGGATTTGATGTCTATTTTATTTTATGATGTTGGATGCAAGTCACAAAATATATATATATATATATATATATATACACATATAGACTTACTCTGGTATTAGAATACTATTTTCCACATGTTTTGAGTATTGGTTTTATTCTAAAAATATATATAAATAATACAACATCACCTTCTTCTTAAAAAATTTTAGTAGATATACATGTGGATATTTTAAAAACTCACCTTGAAATCTATACCCTTGCTATGAAATTTCTAATCAAGAGCAAATTTAATATGCTAAAACATTTATTCACCAACATAAAAATATTAATTTATTTAAAATAAAAAATAAGAAAGATTTACAAGAAAAAAATAGTTTGAGTGTTAATACTTGGTAGATGATCTTAAAGCTATATCTATAGATCTATAAAATAAAAATACATAAATTAATTAATATTATCATATTTTATTTTTTAAAAAAACTGTAATCTTTGTGTAAATATATATTAAGCAACGTTAGAGTTTTCATAGTTAGGATTTGAAATGCTAACCTCTTAGTGCCAATTGGCCAACCTTTCATAGTTTGAGATCATTATAAACTAGTCACCAATTGTTTAGTCAACAAAACCTAAAATTTAGTAGTCTTAATATTAATGTTTTTAGAATTTAAATTTTATTTATTTAAACATATAAATTTAGGATAACAAGACAATTATTTTAATAGTATATAATAGGACATTATTCAGATTTTGATTGTAACATCTAAAGAGATTCATTTAAATAAATATTTGATAGTATAAAAAAACTATGATTCTCAATTGACTAATTGTTTTAATTAATTATTTACTTATTTCTTATACCAATTAAGTATATAATAACAACATTAGTAATAATTTTATATCTAAGATTTAAATGTAATACTCCACATTAAAAAATTTAAAGATAACTGAAAAGTAAAAACAAAGAAATAAAAAATTGCATATTCATGCAATTTATTATGCCAAATTTTATTGTTAAAATCACAAAGAATGTATTGAAAAATGCCACCAGAAGTTTAACCATACATAAATCACCATTGCATTTCACAAGATGCCAATAAATAAATAAATAAATAAATAACATATGAATGAAATAAAATAAAATAAAGAAAAATAATTGCGAAGTAGCAATCTTCTTCTTTTCACGCAAATTAATTTAATATATATATATACGTATACGATTATAAATATATATATATATATATATTTATATGTATGTATATTATCACTAATCACCGTATCTTCGAAACACATTTGACGTGGCTTGATTTGTGTACAAAAGTAGGTGAAGCTAGTTCTGACCGGCGGCTCTCGCAGCTCGCCGCGCAATGGCCACGACGACGACGACGGTGTTTGTGTTCTATTCTGGAGCTGGGCCCGCGACGAGGGCTCGCAGGACAACACGAATACGACAAACCAAGCCCCGTCGCACGCCCGGATTCATAAAACCCCGTGTGGGTTGCAGCGTCATGGTCTAGATTCTTCTTGCTTTGATTCCTCCTCCTTCTCACTCTGCACTCACTCCTCACATTGCCTGCTGCTGCTGCATCGTTTCTGCGCCTCGCCGTTTGATTGCATCCATTTTCAGCTACTGTGAAACCTGGATAGTCGTGCGTGACAGACGTATCGTAGCACGATCATTGCCAAGTATTTGGGGAGCGAGCGAGTTCTTGTGTCAGAGCTTGCGGAACCTCTGTCACGTGTTGGTGGCGTGTACCTACTTTTTCGATTCAGTTTTGGTGCTGCTGGGTGTGCGTTGAGTCTCGAAGTTCCAGGCAGGAGGGAGAGAAATCCGCGCTCTGAGGGTTCGTTGCAAGACTGCAGGTTGATTCAACGAAAAGCAGTAAAAGCACATTGATTTTTTTTTGAAGGATCTGAGCAAACGAGGCTTGTTAGTCCGCTAGAGCTTCCTTTCATTGCATTGTTAGAGGGGATGTGGAGATTGAGTGATCGGTGCTATTGTACTGCTATGGCGTAGAGTGTCGTGCGCGGAAGCTTGTGAAATTCCATCTCATAGTCTGTTCACTTTCAACATTGTGGATCTCCGGTGTCTCACACTTGAGCGAAGGAATAATGAACCTGTTGTCTGATTTCGCAGTATTTGTTCCTTAGCATTGTCGACAGGGGTAGCGATTTTCTTCTTCTGTGGGATGATAATTACAGAGGCTCTTGAATCGCAAGATTGAAGGTGAACGGAATTGCCTTGTTATTGAGATACCCTGAACTTTTTTGTGCCTGCCTCTTCATGTGTAGGAGTGAAGGACATTAGTGGAATCATCTCCGCTGAAAAACTCGTTCTGGCGATGCGACGAATTGCTAGTCTCTCAGGGTATAAGAGCTTAGGGTATATACAACTCTGGAGAAGGTCACTGTGCAGAGGCGGAATCAGTATTTCCGGGCGTGTTTCGGGTTAGCATCCACTATGAATGTACATGCGAGGACGTCATCTGCGGCGGAGCAGCTAAGTAGGCTGTCCTTGAAGGAGGTGGCTGATGCACCGAAGGACTCGGGGAAGTCCACGGAGCACGTGAATGTGGAGAAAGACAAGGGATCAGGGCGGGGGGTTGATGCCCCTCCTGAAGAGCTGCAGAATGGAGGTGGCGCTGAGGATCGGCACCATCACAGAGACGGTCGTAACCCTCATTTGGAGCATTACCCATCAGCACAGCACCACCGGAGCCCTCATCAGCATCAAGTCAAGGACGATGACAACGTTCCCATTTCAAGCAACCTCAAAGATGTAGACTACAATGAATCCAACTCGAGTAGCCAGCGGCTTCGTCACAGGGACCATAGCAGTGAGCACAGGCATCGTCACCGAAGCTCACGCTCTCCTGATCGGCATCACAGTCACCGCCATCATCATGGTCACCACAGAGATCATTCAGATGATCGCTATCACCATCAATCAAAGGATCATCATGGTCATAAACTTGGACACTCTAGCTCCAATCACGCCCGCAGGCCCCACTCGCGCTCTCCGGAGCGACATCACAGCAGCCATGGTCACCACAAGGATCATCACCACAGCCTTGAGCACGGGCACCGCAACTCTCATGGTCACAAACACCACTCACGTTCTCCGGAGCGCCGTCACAGCGGACACGGGCACCACAAGGATCATCATCATAGCCGTGAGCACGGGCACCACAGCTCTCATGGTCACAGGCTCCACTCGCGCTCTCCGGAGCGCTATCATAGCAGCCATGGGCACCACAAAGATGGGTCTGAGCACCATAGCCACCACTCCGGAGGTCACCGTCATCACCACGGAGACCACAGCTCGGGACATAAGCACCATTCTCGCTCGCCAGAGCGTCATCACAGCAGCATCTATGGGCACAACAAAGATGGTCATCAGAGCCACCACGGGCACCACAGGGAAGGCTCAGAACACCACAGCCGTCGCCACCACCACAGTTCGGCCCACAAGGACCACTCGCAATCTCCGGAGCGTCCACACGTGAAGGGCCATTACAAGGAGCACGGTCACCACAGCAACAAAGAACCTAGTCACGGTCATCATGCCTCTGATTACTATGGAAATAATCACAAGAGTCATCACCACAAGGAGAGCTCTGAGCTCTCGGGAAGTCACAGTAAGAGCCACCACGGACACCACAGCTCTCATCATCACAGCTCCCATGGCCATCACCACAACAAGGATGGTCACCACGGCCATCGCAGCAGCGGCTACCATCACAAAGAGCATGGGCACCATGAGCACAAGGAGCATCACCACGGCAAGCGCCGTGACCATGACATGGCCTCTATCTCCAGCTCCGACAGCGGCCACCTCGAGAGGCACAAACATAGTCGCCATCCTCTCGTGTAAGCCACAGCTAACACGATTAGCCTTAATTTTCTGGTTGATCAAGCAGTGGTTAGATTTATTGCAGTTTTGTCAAGCATCGTGGGATGATTCTGCTGTCCATCATATTGCTAAATCGAGCAGTCCCGTTTCAGAGAGGCGTAGGCAGCATCATCAAGATGAAATCTTGGATCATAAGCACTGAGATGCTCAAGTTGGTCGTATCAGGGAACCTTATGGGTCACCGCACCCTCGAACGTCACCTGCACCAGGAGCTCTCGATCGCTCAGCGTCCCGCCTCAAAGTTTCTGCTCCATCAGGCTGGTCGGCACCAGGACCCGTTCCATTGCCGAGTGATATTGCTTCCATTGCCAGAATGATGCAGACCATACCTCCGGTTGCTAGGTAGTGTAGAGCTATTGGTGTTGCTGTCCAGTCGACGGTTTTTACTGTGGGGAGATTTGTAGACCCCCGACCAGTGCTCCAATACATTCCCATTGTTTGCATAGTTTCGAAATCAGCGTCATTCTTGTTGACATCGTGACTCGTCACGCCTCTGCTTTCCAACACAGCACATCATGGCTTGCTTGCGGGAGACCAGCATTTTATCAAGCTTGGAACTACAGTTGTGAATGTATAGACAATCCCTTTGTGGGGGGATTCACCTCAGAATGCTGCTCTCCGATATACACTCTCTCGCACACACACAACGTCTCCAACATGAATTTATATGTGGGATTGAGTACCCACAAGGTATGTGTTTTGAGTGCTGGTCGAACACGTTTTCTACGCTGATGCCTTCCGTTCTTTTTTGTGTCTCTTCACAACCAAAATAGATGAATGAGACTCAATGCATTGTTGAAAGACAACTATTAACTGAAATTGGGAATTAAACACGTCTCAAACTTGTGAACATACAAGGGAATACATGTTATAAGAATGTAGATAAAATCTACATTTTTTAATTTTTTTTTGTAACTCTACAAATTTCATTGAGTTGTTCAAGGTAAAAGAAATCAGGTTGTTAATTATCTGTATTTTTAGATATTAATTTAAAGTTCCATGTTTTCAAAAAACAACTCTCATTTAAATAATTAAATATCACTAGCAATTAACAATTTGCAAAGAAAAGAAAAAGAAAAAAAAAGATGATTTCACTTATATCAAAAAAAATGTTAATAATAATTTATACATTGGATATAATTTTATTCGTTTATTTGATACTGAACCTAGTAGTTGTAGATTTTATGTTCAACTTTTAGTTGAAGTAAAACAAGCATCAATCATTTTTAAGAAATGCTGATATAAATTTTGGTTTTTTATTTGAGTTGGAATTCCTTATGATATGTAATTATTTGGCTAAGTTTTAATTACAACTTTACATATGATTTTATAATATGGTTTTTTACTTTTATTTTGTATTTATTAAGTCCTGATTCTAATATAAAAAATAAATGAATGACATTTTTGTTTTATTAATGTTTTGACATCCTTCTTTTCTAAATTAAGTCAAATCTTTGTAAAAAAAATGAGTTTAAATACTCTTATTGAAGAATATAAATATACTCATCAATTAAAGGATATTGCTTTAGTTTTTTTAGTTTTTTTTTTAAATCAATTAAAACACTCAAATGGCTTATTAAAAACAAATAAAAATACACATTGGAGCAAAAAAAAAGACTTGAAGGATTTATTAAACATATTAGGTAATTCTTAAAAGATAAGTATTTATGTTTGTACTTTATGTAAAAGACCTATGTAGTCTTGTTAATTTAGAAGTTTACATAAGCATTTTCATCTCTTTTATTCTATATTTTATTTTTTAATAAAAAATAATATCTTTTGTGATTCCAATAATTATATCATTAATTATAATGCATAAAATAATAATTCCAATTTTCTACAATCTATATAGATGGTATCTCAGTTATTTCGATTTAATAAATATTAATGAGGTACAATATCATCAAATAAATCACTTTAAATTTTACTTTCTTGTTTTGAGGTCTTTAAAGCTATTAGTTGATATAATCAAATATAAACATTCTTTAGTTCAAAAAAACTATAATTTGGCTTTTGTAAAATTATAATTTATTCCTAATTAATCATAAACTGAAATATTTATTTATTATAGATCTTTTTAAAAAATAAAAACACAAATTAATACATTTTTTTATACATCTTATTACTAAATATCATAAAACAAATTAGTGTGTTTGATTTAGTTTACATTAGTATACTATGTATTCAACATGAAATTATTGAATACATAATTAAAATTCATTCACATATTTCTTGTGGTATCTAAAAGAATGATATTTTAGTTATTTGTGTAAATAAAATAAGATACTAATTATTACATAATTTCATTTTAATTTTAATTTAGAAGAAATATTACAATATTTTTATAAATCTAGGATATTGGAAATAAAATTAGCTATTTTACTGATTCAGCAATTGAATTTACTTAAATAAGTGGTTGCCGAAAATTCAAATTTGATGTTTTAAATTAGAAAAATTACAAATGTTTTGATGATTATTCTTTAAAAACTTTATTTATTTATTTATTGAATGTATAATGGTAAAAACTTTATTTATTTATTTATTAAATGGTTGTTGCAGTGGTATAATGTGTGTCTCTTTATAGGATGTAGATATGGAAGACATAGCTAGTTAATCTTTTTTATACACACATTTTTAGAAAATAGAATAAATAATTTAAATTTCTATCTCTAAATTTATTTCTAGAATATAAAATATTTATGTGCACAATATTAAGTTTTTTTCTTGAATTACTACATATAATTAATTATACGTAGTAAACTTTGCAGATTAAAAATAACAAACAAGAACATGTAAAATGTAAAATTATATACATTAAATTTCAATCGCCAAGGCTTCGACTGCATGTTCACAACATCGATTTCTGTACAACATGTTGTGGATAAACATGAAGGATATTGAATGCTGGGTAGTGGATTCAACGCTGGGTCTGAAGCCCTTGTTCATTAACAAATGTTTATTTTATTTTTATTTGTATCTTTTGTTAAGTGCTGAGACATCGACGAAGATAAAAACATTGGCAAAAAACCGGTGTTGATAATAGCATGGTAGTTTCTCGCAAGCCCATCGTGCAAAACAGACAGATTCCCACTTTACGATGTAGGAAGAGTGGATCGTGATGAAGGGGTTCCACACTTTGCTGCTTATCGCATCACAAGCAGCATGAATGCGTCGTTATGTTATGTCATGTTTTTATTTTTACTTTTATTTTTATGTTTTGTTTTGTGGAGAATTGAATTACTGTGTCAGGGATGCACCTTGCATGCATGCCCACGGCGCAACGAGATCGAGGAGTTTCAACCAGGGCTCGGAAGTTTGGGGGTTGTGATCACAAACGCAGTTCTTTGAGACTAATCTGAGGCTGCGAAGCGAGATCTGCGATCGACTTTGCTGAAAGGCAGGAGAGTTGTCCCGAGGTTGGCCACGACCGCAGGCTGCGTCTATAAACCTGGAACGGGAGCGCGCATCGACATGTGGGCGTTCATGGAGCGGAGGGCCTTTCACGAAATGCATCAATGCGGGAACCACAGTTTGTAGAAGATAGCCTACACAACCTACTCCCCATTTGACCTGTCCCCCAATTATAGACCTTGGTCGGATTCTCAAGGGATTCGGCATGACCAGCCGATTTGGCGATAGATTCTGTGCGCTGCAACCGCCGGCCAGTTTAAGAATATCCCTCGGGCCTCTCGCGAATTTTCTTTTGTTGTTTTAAATTTAAAAAAATCCTTTTGCCCTTGATGATCGATTCTCCCATCAACATTTGAACTATTCTTTGCGGAGATGTAAACGTGAGACGGACGCAGTAAAATGAGAGAGGTGAGGGACCAAGGACAATGTATTGGGGAGTGTGTGATTGTGGGAAAGTGGGGGCTGTGGAGAGAGCGTGATTGAATTTACCATTTCCACGAGTAAACTGTCTTGTCGCCCAAAGGCAACGCAAAATTACTCCATCCATGTTGATTGTCAGTAGTAGTTAGCTTGTCGTGCATATTTGCATGAATGTGTATATATGAACACACACACACACACACACACACATATATATATATATATATATATATATATAGAACGCAAGTAAGCAGTTCTGGGATTGAAAAATGCGAAAATAGAGTAAAGGTGTCTGGAATCCGCTTGAGGAAGTCAGGAGGGCAATAAAGAACGTAAGAAGATGCCAAACAGAGCCGTCAGCACAATCTCTACAGTGAGAGAAATGAAAGCCCTAATTGGACTTTACTGGTAAAAGAGATATATTTGGGTTTATTTGTCGTGAAGCGGTTGCAACAGTGAAGGCATGATTCACTTGAACCGCGATACATGGGCCAGCGTTGTGGAGCTGATGTGCAGCTGGGAGTGTTCGAGTCTCCATCTGCAGTCAGGGTGAAAACTTCTCTTGATTTGTTACGAGACGAACCGACATTTACTGACAGGACGAGCAAGAGAGATGTACCCAGATTGCTGATTCCGATTTGAAACTGTCGAGGAACCACCGAACTCGTTCTAGGTGGAAATACTATTTAGTGAGGGTCCACACGTAAAAACCGAGGAGAACAGTGAGCTACCAATTATGCATGAAGAATTGGGGATTTTAGCTGGATCTTCTCAAATTTCTCTCTGGGCACTGCCGTGCTTGCATGACCTCGCATGGATCACAGCCCATAGATATGCAGTGAGATCTTGTGAACAGTACCCATTTGATCATACCATTTTTGGCTTTCTTTTTAGAGTTTTCAGAGCATAGTTTAGTATAGTTAACTCTTCTTGTATGTTAGTTTAAATTTTTTCTCCCAGAGTTTTTGGTTGGGCGTGCGGTTTTGGGTTGAGTGTTAAATGTTTTGATTGATTGCAGCATTTGCTTTGGGCTGATCATGGGCTGATGTGCGGGAGAGCTGTCCTTTTCGCGACTGTGATTGAGGTTCTGGCCAATCTGGGGGACATCCCTTTGGCTTTCTCCTCCACTCAAGGCCAATGCTCTGTAGCGATGTAGGTGAGTGCTCGTCTTCCATCTTGTAGAGAAGAGAATTCGACCAGTAGGTTTGAGCTTCAAGGTGGCAGATCTCGCCACCAAGGTATGACAGTATCTCAGGGCGAACAGTCGCGAAGTTCTCATCCAGGAGCGCTCGTGAGGCTGATCCAGCGTGCAGTGAGACATAACTGCCAGATTCTAGTGAGGGTCAACACGATCGACATATTCGTGCAGGTACGAAGTTGCTTCAGGTCGGGAATTGTGGATTTGGATTTTAGATTTCCTTGCTGAGTCTGCGTGAAATGGAATTGTCGTGTGTGGGTTTGGCAGACGTGAGTCATAACGATGAAGTGTCGGCAGCCACATTGGTGTCTTGGCCGCTATGAAATCATTGCTGTCAGCACAAGGAAGTTGATGAATAAGGGCTTGAGGTTTTGAAAATTTGGACTTCAATTGTTGGGATTGGAAATCCTGTAATCCAAATTTTCATTGAATTCAGTTTAGATTCAAGAAGTGCGTGATTTTAGATTTAAAGTACAACCTAACCGCCAGAAGCGTGTAAATGTGCATTGCTACTCTCAGTCTTCAGCTAATGAAAAGAGGCCGTTTGGACTTATTCTGATTATCTTGATGCAAAATGATATCATGATGTTTTATTCATTCTATAATTCGATTCATATGTTTGTGCCGTGATCTGGTAACAAGCCCAGATATATGGAACTCATATTTGGAGAACGTATTTTGCCTTAGTACATGTGGCGTCTTCATTGATACATGGATTGATCGTGCTTTTTAATGAGGAAGGAGTTGGAACTTGTTGCAAGCATTGTTTTGGAGGGTCTCAGTGGGCGTGAGAATATTAGCGAAGGCAAGTAGTCACTTGTAAACGGATATGGTGCGGAAAACCCTAGAAGCAGAGGTGCGGGGCGAGTGTGGCATTTCACACCCCCCCAAGGATTTAAAACCTCCGAAACCCGCAGAAGCAGATGTTTTAGGGATTCCAGGTCTTTTGCATCAGACTTCCGGAGGTTCAAAGCCTAAGAAGGCTTTCAAGCTTGTTGGGCAGACTAAGTTACCAGACATGGGACTTGACGTGTTAAAGAAGACGCGTAAGCGTGGAAATTCTGACGGAGCAACGACAATACCATCACCTGCTCAGTTCTTTGAAGACACGTTGCAGAAGAAAGTGGTGGGAGAAACCAGGGCTGAAACAATTAGCCTCCTCTCTGCTAGCTTAGACAATTTCTGCCCGGATTTAGTGCAGAAAAATCTTCTACTATCAGAATTGGGAGCAATAAAACCGGCACCTGTTAACACCTTTCAGTATCACGTTCTTGCAGTGGATGATAGCAGTATTGACCAAAGAGTCATAGAAAGACTTCTCAAGACATCGTCATACAGAGGTGAGTTTCTAGCTGTAAAGGCAAACTGTACTATATTATGTCCATTTCGCGAATTTCAAGTCGAAATGTAGAGGCATTCGCTTAAGATATCTTCTGTGGAAATGACACTTTTTCATTGAGGACATGAAGCACTTAATTTGTTGTACCATTGTCTGCAGTCACAACAGTCAACAGTGCTGTGAGGGCCTTGGACGTCTTGGGACTTTCAGAAAGCCGCTCCGCCTCTTCCACGGTTTGTCTTTGCAACTGAATACTGTGGGCCAAAAAAATGTTACTTGAATATCAGTACATGCTTAGATAGAATGAAATGTTTTTCTGCACTTAACATAAACGGATTTATCTGCAGAGGCTGGATATCAATCTAATAATGACGGATTATTGCATGCCAGAGATGACTGGTTATGATCTACTCAAACGAGTGAAGGTACTTTACTTCCGTTACAGTGACACATTTAGTAAGCTTGGATGTGAAGTTATACGCTCTTGCATGCTTGTTATCTGCACTTTGCATGTAAAACTTACAAATCATGACCCAAAGTGCCAATGATAAGGTTATATGAAAAAAAACATGGTATGCTATTAGTATACTTTCAGCAAAGTGTTGCTTTCGGTGTCTGGAAACTTAGCATGCATCATTACATAACTTCCAGTCATTACTGAATCCGTAGATTCACTGGTGATATGGTTTAATCCAACTGGATCAGTGATTGAGATTCTCAATATTTGAATTTTTTTGACTCTACACTAGTCTATGCTTTAGTTTGATTCCACTTTTTCTTAAGTCTTCCATGATTGCTGGGTGAGCTGATGTTGCTGCGTTTTCAGGCGCAGACTTCAGCATTGAAGGAAATACCTGTTGTTCTTATGTCTTCAGAAAATGATAGCAATCGCATCGAAAGGTGATTATTCCTCTCTCATCAATCAAGTCTCATATGCCCTGTCGCTAATAAGATGAATTTTGATCACTTTCTTGTTTACGCTCATAACCAGCCGAATGAGATCGGTAGATATTGAATGCATAGGACTGACTTGCTGTTAAATTATACAACTTGTACCACAGATGCCTAGCAGAAGGTGCTGAAGAATTTATTATTAAGCCAGTAAAGATGGCGGATGTAAAACGGCTGCATGGCCTTTTAAAACGTCCAAGCACACGCTCCTCTTCAGAAACAGGTGAAAGTTCAGGTTTCACTTGTGGAAAGAGAAAAGCCGATGCTCTTGATCTCCATGAAGTTTCTAGTCCTCAAAGACTGCTCCAGTTCAATGAGTATTTTGTTTCTTAACGTCCACTGTATGTTCTACCGATTACTCTAGGTCACCGCAAAGGCTTCAAGGATCCCATGGCCTGATCTGGATGCCAGATCTAAGTAGATGCAATCTTCACAGCCTTTCCTGAAGGTTTTCCTCCCACGAAGATCTGTTTGATTATATTGCTCGTTGAAGCGTAGCCAGTACGTACTCTTGGTACCCCGAATGCGTTGGTGACTGCTCTTCAGATTGATTAATTTGCCGACAAGTTAGCATGGAAAACTACGAAGGGGCTATGAAGTGAGGTTTGTAAGACAATTTTCAAACGTAATTGTAGCTTGTAACCTGCGATTGATTCGTACTTATCAATCTTGTCCTACCTACAGTAGAGGAGACGTCAGTCAGCAGGAAGGCTTAGAGTGGGTGTTTCAATCCGTGTATGCAGTTACAATGTGCTGCTTAGTATTTCTTCTGCCAACAGTGCCTCAATTTTCTGCCATCGTTGTGACTTGCTGTTAATTCCAGTTGGGTTCTGGAGGTAAATCTTAGCTCTACTAGACTTCACAAGTTTGGAAAACTTATGAACAAGTTGCCTCACCATTGCATGTGGGCATACATTGGGAGGTGACCTTCGACGTAAACATACTTCATTCCTGTCTTTATGCAACATTCAACAGTTCCATTACTTTTTTTTTTATTTGAAACTTTGATGGAAGTCAAAAATATAATCCCTCATACTTTTGTTCTTGATTTCAGATTTGTATTGGTTACTGTTGTTTGTATGAGTAGGATCCAAAAACATGAGTTGACAGTTCCAACCCATTAGATAAAAGAAAAGAAAGGAAAATGCAAAGATTAGTATCTTAAATTTGACTATTTTTTTAAAAATTTCATCCAATGAAGTTGTGTTGTGGATCTTATTTTATTTATAAGAAATTTAACGTGTTAATTATGCCAATTTGATAAGGCATGTCACCACTTAAGATATCAAACTTTTTATTTCTTTCATCTAAATCTTGGGTTTCGATTCTATATCCAATTTGCCAATTTTGTAGTCCTAGTTTGGACTATGTTCAAAATTTACAGCTTTGAGGCAATCCAAATTTTATTGTATAATTCAAATTAAGTAAATCTAATTAAAGTACAAAGAATTAATTTTTTTGGATTGAACATAATAAACTTTGGACTCTATTGAGCTGTTTTCAAGAGTTTTACATCAACTTAAATTCTCAAACATTCCTTCTCTCTCAATTTGTTTTACGTTTTAGGCATGCTTGTATATGGGATGTTTTATTTTTTGTAGTACTTCTTGTATTGCATTGCTGCAAATCAATTTATTTTTAGCTATCAATGTCATAATGTCCTATCAACAAGGAGAGACAATTCTTTTTTTTTTTTTTTTTTTTTTTTTTTTAAGGTTTTTGGGGTGTCTTTCTATTCTCTTACAAGGAGCTTGTGGCTTGCTTTAAAAAATTGCACATCTTGATCTTTAAGGTCTTTTTGTCACCCCCTTTATTCTCTTGTAGTGAGCTCTAAGTTCACTATGCGTGTGCTGTAAGACACCATGTTATTTTTTGATATTAAGTGTCTTTTAATTAATTAATTTTTTTTAAAATTTAATTGCAGCAACTATTTTTTCTTAATTTTTAATAGATTTTTAATATGATTTTATTCTTAAAGCTTTTTGATGAAAGAAAGGGAGGAGGGATAGAAAAGACTTTTTTATTTATTTATTTATTTTTTTTTTCTTCTTCCTCTTCTTATTTACTTTACAATCTTATTAAGTTAATTTCAAAATTTTATGCTTTGTTGAACCTATTATCAATTTTCAATAATTAAATCTTGCAATCAAATGTTTTGCAAAAATCACTTCTAAGAGTCTAAGATTAAAATCATTGCCAATACATTTAATAATTTTATACTATTACAATCCAAAATTTAGTTAATTTAATTATTTTATATCATAAAAGTATTAGAGGCTTTAATAAACAGATAATTTATAAAAATTTGTCTATGACTAAGCAAGTAAAGATAAATATAGCTTTCTACAATAAAATTTAAAAAATAAATAATAATAAACAAGTAGCTACATAAAAACACACATAATAGTTGTTTGTAAGATTTTTTTTAAAAAATAGTTAAACAATTATTTTGAAGAATCTAAATCTATTATACTTTATAAAAATAAAATTAGAATTTTTAACGTCTTAATGTATTTTAAATTATATTATTAATATATAATCAAAACCAATAAAATCTAATTTTTTTGTACAAAAATTTTAATTAAAAACTATTGTCAAAAATTAAATAAAACAAATAATTATGAATCTAGCATTAAATTTCAGATTTTAGATATATTTGTATAATTCTTAGTTTATTATTTGTGATTTTTTTCTTATTCACAAATCTTCTCTATAATCTTTTTTTAACACATTATATATATATATATATATATATAAAGAGCCTCAAATTTTTACTAAATCGATCTACATGTTTAAACCATCATTGTATCCTTTCAACCCTGTCCCTATTCCTAGTTGTTTTTCCATTCTCAACTATCACCTCCATTTTCAACATTCCTAATCCCCTATTGTCATGTAGTAACACAACTGTATAATGAAAAATAAAAATATAGATGTTATAATAGAAGAACCTAGCAAAAAGATGGAATAGAAAAATAAGGATAAATAATAGAAAAGTAGTAAAAGATTTAGTCATAATGCTGCCTTTTTATAGAATGGACTTCTATTTACTTTGTAGAGGCATAAATGAGCCAAAACAAAGTAAATGAGATAAGAAATGATATAGGCATGTGTAGGAGAGAGTTAAGAGTAGATTTTAGCAAAATTTACCTCAAGAAGCCAAGAATTGCTACCTAAAGAGGACTGGGTGTCAACTTGGGTCAAAATCAGATTCCAAGGCACAAAACTGTGCACCTACGGTGACTTTGGGATTTTTTGATAGATCAAAGAGTAGGATTTGAGAACATGCTTGAAGAGAGATTTTTGGATGTTAGTTTCATATCAATTGAATCACTATTGAGTTTTTAAAGGATTTTCAAAATTAGTGATGTTCTTGGTTGGTTTAAATTTTGAGAAGTAAAAATATGTTTACAAATTCGAATTAAAGTTTTTGTGGGTTGAGATCTCAGAAATTGAAGTTTGAGGTTTAGGGAGTATTTCTAAGATCTTTAGCAATCTATTAATTGGATTGAAGTGAAATCATTTTGTGTAGATATTAGATTCAATTTCCAATATTTTAGGTGAAATTTGGAAGCAATTTAATGGTTCAAGAAGGAGATATTGGCATTGGAAGTTTGGCATTTAGGTTGGAGTAAGAGGATGCATAACACCCGATTGGATTATCTTGTATTTCTCTCAATTGGTAGGTGCAATTGATTTCACCTTTCTTGTATTTATTTCTAACTAAGACATTAAAAAGTGTGAAAATTTTAAATTGATATCAACAGTTCAATCATTAGTTATTGAGGTTCCATTTTTCTATAGGATTTGTAAAGAGTTTGTTTAAGATCTAGGATTTGATTAAGATTTGGTTTAAGATTTGGTTTAGGATTTTGTCTAAGGTTTGGTTAGGATGAGGGTTTGCTTGGAATTTGGTCTAGAATTTGTCTAGGATTTGTCTAGGATTTAGGGTTTTGTTTGAATTTGATATAGGATTTGGTTAAGGTTTAATTAGAGTTTCAATTAGAATTGAAGTGTTTTTCAAATGTTATAGGATTTGTTTGATGCTTTGAAAAAAATATATATTGTAGTTTTAAAATAAGTATATTGATTAATTAATTTCTTATATTATTTTATATTTAATAATGGCAAAAAATTTGATTTTTTATAAGCTTATAATGATATGCTTATTCTATAAATAACTTATGTATATTTATGATAAATACTAATAATTCTAAAAACACTATAAGTGCTATTTTATAATCATATATTTTAAATATGTTAGATATTTGTATTTTATATTTTTTTAATAAAATAAATTATACTTTAGAAAAATATCATTAAATATTATTCTTAAAATTTTTTAAAAACCACTAGGTGGACACCCTTTTATGCCACGTAATCCTATTAATACACAATAAAATTCCAATTTATACTAAAATAACTTAGAATAAATTCAGAATAAAAGATTTTTGTATAATGGCTTATGGCACTTTTTTTTTTAAAATTTTTTTGTCTTATTTTTTATATTTATTTTTGTATTTTTAAAGGATCATAATATATATTATATTTGAATAATAATATTTTAAAAAAAGATTGTATGAAAATTTTGTGTTGAATTGAAAAGCCATAGCATGTATAAGTGAATTCTTAACCTTGACATAAAATACATAGAGTATATATGGTTTAATGGCACAATCATTAAATTTAATTTTTTATATAAGCAGATATTACATGATTTTTTAATAAAAGATAATTTTTTAATAAAAAAATACGAATTTATTATATTAAATCTTTTTAAATTACAAACTTGATAGTACTTACTTTTGAAGGTTGTGAATTATTTTTTCTAATAAAATTTTCTTTTAGTACTTTCTTAAATAATTTAGATTATTCTTCTTGTAAAGATACTAGAGTATATTAGAAGAAACTTCAACAAAGTTGTAAAAGAGTTATAATAATTATTATAAAAATTATAATTAATATATGAAATAAAAAATTAATAAATTTTAATATTTTACATAAGATTTTTAATTCATAGCCAAAAGATCTAAGACTTCTACATTAAAAAGAAATCATTAGAAAAACATCAATAATAATAAATAAATAAAATATATATACAAGAAATTTAATTATTTCTATACTTGTATCTTTTAAGTTTTTATTTTATTTTATTTTTTTAATGAATTTGCCTCTGTGGGATTTTTTTGCACTATTTCAAATAATATTTGTCCATATTAAAAAATATTTTTAATTTCAAAATTTTAATTTTAATAATATATTTTTTGATATAGAAAATTAATTATAAAAAAATATATTTAATAAAATATTAAAATCACAATGTTAATTTATTTTAACTGATAATTTTGTGATACTCTATGAGTATTTTTTAAAAAATGAAACGTTTCTTTTTGTAAATTATACATAGCTATCACAAACATACATGTTTGTTGCAATAATCATTTAGATAATATGAGTAAATAGAGATAAATAAAAGTATATAAATTTAATAACATCTTATAGAAAAGCTTTGTAGAAGTTTTATAGACATGGATTTTTCATTATACATGTCTGTAGGTTGAAAATTTGGTCAACAAGTTGGGTATATATTGTATATGTTGGCCATTTGAGATATAAATTAGACATGTGGCACACAATTAGAAAAACTTGCCTTGAAAATTAGACACATGTTTTGTAAGTTTGACATGTATTAGAGGTCCTATAGAATGTTGTCACATAGCTCCTAATTAGATAATATATATAGAGGTAAGAGTGAGGCCTTCGTCAATTTGGTCAATTATTTTTCTACTTCTAGTCTAGTTTCAAGAGTCTCAAATTTTTTAGTCTTTGGCAATAGCCATTTTAGTTTCTTCTTGAATAAATATACTTACTTATTTCTTTTTTATCATTTTTTTATTTTATTTTATTTTATATATGTCTTACTTATTTATGTACATTCTTTGAGTTCTTGTCCTTGACAATAGTATCTAAAAAAAAACGTTGTATCAATTATTTTTTTTTAAATTATTATAAAATCAATAAAATCAAGCTAAAATATAAATTTGATAATAAAATAATATGAAAACTATTTTTGAAGTATTAAAGAATCAAAAATAAAAATATTTTTTTATATTTTATCATGAAAAAATATTAAAATTAGACTTAAAAAATGTTAATATATCAAAATAAGTATAAGTATATATATATATATATATATATATATGTTTTTGGTGTCCAAAATAGTTCCTATGATAGAGTTTTGGATTTTGATATAGAAGGGTAGTTGCAAAGTAGGGTCTAAGTTTCATTCTTAGTTAGATTACTTGTTCTCTAAATAGTATTGGCTATAAATATTTACTTGTGATTGGCAATAAGTAAGTTGCATTGTAGGATATAACTTGACTGTAATCTTCAAGTCATCTGCTTGAATATCACACTCTTAATTATACAAATCTATGTGTGCCTTGCTGCAAAGAACCAAAAGACAAGCAACAGATAACTATCTGCAAGATAATCAAGTGGAATTTGTTTTGTCTTTGATAGAATTTTCTTACAAAAGTATATTTTTTTATTCCAAATAAATTATTTTATATTTGAATAGCAGCTACTATTTTAAAGCAAAGCATACTTTAATTAAAGTGTTTAAAAACGTAACAACAAATTATTTAGTTAGTCTGTAAAATGTCTTTCAAAACAAACTTTTACCGTATTTGAAAGAAGTTCAAAATGGATACAAAATTTATGTAAATCATACTAAAACCTGCACCATAATTTAACGTAGAAGATCAAGTGTGACTTCTTCGAAAATATATATAAAATTTTAAAACTATTAAAAATATTATAGAAAGGACCTTAATACAATTATCAACCAAATAATCAAGTATGCTGCGATACCTAATGCTTCATGTTTTGTTTTTAAAATTTTATCACAAAACATTTATTTTTAATTCAAGAAATCTTTTTCCACTACCATTAATTTTTTAAAAAACAAATAAAATATAAACCGATTTGACAATGCATTTTATCCACATCTTTCATGAAAAGAATATGATACTATCTAACAAGCATTTTTTTATTTTTTATTTTTATTTTTAAATCACCCGGCATAATGAATGCTAAGCTAATTATTCATCAACATACCAAAACCTGATAGCATACGACTTTTGGGGTTCTAAACCTATCCAGCAGACAGTATTCAAAACTGCAAACCTGCGTTGATCGGACAGGCACAATCTTGCTAAGATATCAGAGAAGTTTGTCGAGATCGAATTTACTTAAGCTCTTGCTATTAGATTCCTCACAGCAATTCTATTACAGAAGAGAAGTAACAGCTTCGCAGATAGAAGATCATTTCATCTCATTTCGAGTTAGAGAAGTAGATTGTACACAAGGTGAATCACCAGGTTGCTACCGACATGGATGAGTGTCCGTCTGCTGATTCTCTCGGAGGCTGAGTTGTAAGTTATCGTACATACTTAGAGAAACATCGTCCAGGTCTCCAAGTTAAAAGACGGCACTACATCATATTGTTATATGTAGCTACTGTCTGGTGTATGTTACAATACTTGATGTTCGCAGCTAAGTTCGAGGCGGTGTCAAAGGTTACATTTGATAAAAATCTTACAATATCGATCTAGATTCCCGTCGAAGAGTACCAGTGGGTTGAAGCGATGACAACTTGGGGTGGATTGCCGAGGCAATGCCCGCGATTTGGTTGTCGGCTTAGGGACTTCAGAGCGTCGCTGGAGAAATCTCAAGCGTGTGTGCGGATTTTTGTAGCTGTCGATGAAGTCACCTTCGCGGGCAAAAGCAGTCGTTCATATTCGCTGCGCTGGAAAAAAAGACTTGGGGAAGTCGGGTCAAGCTGAGCGAAGTGCACTATGTTCAGTCGACGAGAGAAGTTAACATCGGTCATATGTTCACAACCGATTCATCGAAAAAGATCTCCCTACTTGATCGATTGGTGTCTCTGCAGAAGACGTAGAAAACGAAGTTAGATGATATAGAATATGAATTCCAAAGCACTCGGTACTTGTTCGATCTTGTGTACACATGCGTGTATTCGAATTGCTATCGTTTGATCTTGGCAGTTTTCAAGGTCGGCTACATGGCAATGTGAAAATAATATGAATTATTAATGTTACCTTTGCGAATTCGTCGCGGTGAACAATGGATTGTCCCTTCGTTGCGCTGCCCATTGTATACATATTAAGTGACTGCTTCAGTGAGCTACAGATTGCCTCCTGTTAACACATACACAAAAACATCAGACGTGCTTTACTTAATGAATCTTAAATACGATAAACAAAACTCAAATGTATGTACGACATTAGAACTGCATAAAACGGAAGGATGGTTCCAGCCAAATTCAAGATTATAGATATTATTAGCTTACAAAGAAGTGCTGGTGGCGTGGTCGCGAGTTCAAACTCCAGAGCTTTAGACTTCGAGATCTGCTCTTCTTCAACAACAGATTGGGTGGGGGCGATAAAAGCTCCAGAGTGGCCTTATATGCTGGCGATCTGAATCCATCTTCCGTGGAACTTGATGGTTCATTCGGAAGATCCCAGGAGGGATTTTCCACCCAGAGACATTGCGTCGACAGTAATCCAGATCTAGCACCCTTAGAACGAAATATGGGAAATCCGAGGCAATTGGATAAATCTGGAGCAGCTCTCGCTGCTGAGGCGCACTCGGTCTTTACTGCTACATCCTGAGCAGGGGTAGAAGGCATCTTATACGGAAGCCGTGTAGGGGGCTCACTCTGTTCCTCAGGTTTGAAAGGTGGTGGCAAAGAGAAACCGCTGTCTTGACTGTCAAGATGGTCCTCTCCGTAAGAAGAATACCCATTGCTATCTACAGAGCGGGAAATTGATACATCTCTCCCACTATTTGGGCTGACTAGAGGTTTAGAGCTCGATGACCTCCGGCTCACAATCCTACTCAGATTGAGCAATGTTCCACCGTGGCTAATTTCGACTTCTTCGCGGCCTCCAACAGAACCCGAACAGGAAGACTCTTGATATTCTAACTGCCGAATGGAAGAATGCCTTGATGTAGGGCTGGCGTGATCCCTGTTAGACCAGGGTTCGGGCGTCTCGCCCGAAAGCATGATTGAGGAGAGGCTCACCGTGGTAGGAGACTTGAGACTAGTTTTGCTCGAGCAGGACGAGGGGGTTGAAAGGCTGTCACTTCCAGGGCCGCAGAGGGTGCTCGTAGGAGAACGAACGGAGTTCCACGCATTCGACTTGTCACTTGTGAAGTCAGCATTTTGATATTGCGGCGACCCAAATTGCGAAACGGGTTCCGGCTGTGAGTCCGAAAAGAATTCATTCGGCTTTGCAGTCTTCTCCAACGGATCAGAACAGAATGCGGCAGCAAGTGTGCTGCGAGACTTATCTGTTCCCGACGACGGTTGTGATGGCGATTGTGAATCCTTCTTCAAGTTATGGGAGATTTTATCGACAGAAGACATGTCTGGTGCTGACGCACTGAAATTGTGACTTGAAGATCGAGTTCGGTCAGCTGGTGCCACAGACATGCTGAGGCTCCTGCTTGTTGGTGAATTCTTTCTCAAATTGTTACGTTTGGCGAGTCTTGGGGGCAATTGTAACGCAGGAATCGCCTCAGTATTATCCTTCTGCTCTAGTCTCGGTTTCCCAGGCGCTTCCTCCCACTTGAACGGCACGGCGGAGCACGCTACTTCCTCCCGAGCAGCCTTCGCTGACGCGACTGGTAGTGATTCCACACGTTTCGCAGCTGCTTGAGGCACAAGATTGATGTTGGAAATCTCCGCCACTTTGACGCTTCGATCGCTCTCTACCTTTCCAGTCTTATTCTCAGACCAGCCGCAGAACCTATCAGGGCTGTTATTCTGCATGGATTCAACCTTGGGCACATTCACTCGTGACCGTGTCGAACTCGACGAGGATGTGCGCAAGTGAGGTTTCTTCAAATTCTTTCTGGTTGCAAATGGGGCATCCTCCCACTTAAAAGGGTTTGTTACCCTAGGCAACTCGCAGTCTGAACTTTTGTTCTTGCCATCAGTCGAAGCTCCTCTAACAGTGAACCCTGACGACCGGTTTTTGCTGGCACCGGCATGCGTAGCTACATTTAAACCACAACCCTCCTTCCGCATCTCTATCGTCCGATTGAGAGCATCCACGCACTCGTCAGAATCATAGAAAGCTCCGTTCTTGAATCGTCTTGCACTTTGAGATTTCTCGTTGTTAACACCCAAGTTCCCATTGACATTGTTTCGAGTCTTTATTTTCGACGTCTGCATTGCTAATATTGAGCCCAAACTCATCGAGGGTGGCATGTTAGAATCGTCTCTCCCACTAAGATATGATGTGTATGGCACGTTCCTTACTTCATCTAACTCCTCATCTTCTTCCTCTTCTTCAGATGCCTCTTCCTCTTCTTCTCTAAAACTGCATGCTACCGCAGGTTTTCTGGATAGAAGTTCAATTCCTTTGCACTCACGAGGACCACCGACGTATGATGATATCGTACTAGGACTGCCAATGATAGGATCACTGCAATAAGGTCTCTCCAACCCTTGCAGAGCGGCAGGAAGAGACTCGCTTTCAGAATTGGATCCGTCAAATGCTGGAGAATTTGATTCACTCAAATTAAGAACACTCACTCCTTCAATGCTTGTAGTTGACCTGGGTCTCCATGGAGATTGAGGCCTACTTGTATCACACCTGCTCCGCAACTGATAGTCGCGACGACATGGAGAGGTGGCCGGTATTTGTAACAAGTCATCCTCGGCAGTGAAGGACGCCATCTCCAACCCTTAGTTGTGAACACGCGTGGGATCTAACTACATGTCTCGGTAACTCAACCTTGGTTTCGAAATCAGAGAAGAACCACTTGGAAAACAGTATACAGTCTTGTACTCAAAAGAAGATCCCCTGCACCTCAAGTTGCAAAAGATTGAGAACCTGAACGACAACTGAATCCTGAGTTTCTTCTAATACTGCCTCTCAGCATATCCTGAGTGCACTCCCTCTCTCGGGACAAGGCACATAACAGTGCACCGTGTGTTACCCTGCCTTAATCATAATGATGTGAGTAACATTACCGCTCCTAAGACATTCTTTGCATTGATAGCGAATACCGCATGAATGAATCTGGGATACGACCGTACTGAACACCCCAGCGTACTCACTGCCAACCTCCGGCACTGACAATCTGTCAATCTGTCAAAAAGAAAATGGCCACCTCATTGAATGAAAACGTCGAATTCAGAATACCTTCAAGTTAACTCTGCAACTGTCGACGAGCGGCAGTGTGCCACACCAGTTCTCTTGAACCCAATTGATGTTATCAGGTGCACCGCCACTGACATGTAATAACTACAAAGCACAGATCTCTACCGCCCTCCCAGCCAATTTTCGGCCTCTCGAAAACTGTAAAGCGCCATACTCTGCACTCTGCAAGACTCCTGTACGCTGAATCCCAGGAAATAATCGGCAACCGAACTGCAGATGAAACCCCAGTCGTCCGATCTGATCAACCACGGGGTCCTGGGTCGACTCGCAGCAGGCGCCTAGGAGGAAAACTATGTGATATAGATCGGTTTTTATGGAGTGGCCCCAGAAGGTCCAGGTGGAGAAAAGCGATGGTAACGAAACATGACAAGAAAAAAAAACATGTTCGTTGCTTATTCAAACGCTAGCGTCGCCAAGTCATGGCAACGGAAGGACGTGCCAGTGGTGAACCTCCCAGCGCCAAAGGTAACAGTCGTCCTTGCCACAAAAAGGCTACTAGTCTGTCAAGCAGAACTCCTGCTATAGAACTTCTATTTGTATCAACTTCCGAACGCAACGAACAATATTGTTGAAATGAAAATTATATGAAAGCGCATGTGTTCGAACAGACAACTAATCTCGTTACTATTTGTAAGGTCTTCTGGAGTGGCACCTGTATCGAACTGGAGACCCTTAGCTGGAGATGTCAGTAGTTGCTAACTAAAATATGAAGTGTGAAGAAGCGGGATTGACGAGGTCAGAATCAAAGGTGTACTGAAGGTTAAAATCCTCATTTCTTACGATTATAGTTTTTGAAGTTGGCCTTTAGAGTAAGCGTTGATTATTTGAACAAAGTTGTATCCCATTTGAAATAACTTGAAAAACCAAATGACTGGACGCAAGGCCACATCTAATTTCATTCTCAAAAACATGCATTTATATATATGGGAATATAGGTATGTAAATAAAATACTTAGCGCCATCCCATGATCACATAAGAATCTATATAAATATTTTTGGTCCTTCGGCTTCTATCTTCTTTTTTCAGCGTGTGTGTGAGTTGATTGGTAAATGATTAAAATTAATATATTTTTATTTGTAAAAAAAGAAATTCCCCACTTATTGTCCTACAAGATTCCATTACTACAGAACCAACAGGTCTTTACGAGGTCGTTTGTGCAAGATTCAATTTCCAATTTCATTATTAATTTTTTTGGATTGGGGCACATCTGGAAGTTTACTAGAATTATCTTCAGTTGCATGACCTCGAGTCGGCCTGGACGTGATTTAAGTCACACTAATAATAATAATAAAAAAATAATCTATAATTGGCTTTAAATTTTGAATCTGATCAGATTAATGCATGCAATAATGCAATGCAAATAGGATAATATTACCATCTCTATCAGCAATTCCAACATCACTCACAACACATTGTATATTTCTTCCGAATCTTGTTTGATCTCCATAAAAATAAAATAAAAATAAAATAAAGTTTCAACACTTGCTTCTAACAGTCTCTTGTTGGGGTAGATGTAAGTAATTTATCTTCTCGTTAAACAAATGAATAACGAACATTTATGTAAAGTACATGAAATCTTGTTCTTAATGAAGGGCACGACTGTTGACAGAATGTACTGCAAAAGAAATAAAAATTGCTTTTTTGATAATCTAGAGGACCTTCAGCAGAAGAGTTAATTGCTCCAAAGATGGAGTGGATAAATTGTTTCTGAATCTGGTTTGAAAATGGTCTTAGAACGGTGGGGATGGCATGATGCTTCGGAGTATCCGGTGCTGTAACCCGAGGACCATTCGATAGTAGGAGCACTGCTCGCATCTTATCCTAGGATTATGTAACTGTTCACTTCGATCGCTTTGTCGTACTTGCATTGCGTGACAGAGGGTAACATTGTAGTGGAACTGCGGTGTAATTAGGATTTTTATTAGGATTACTTTTTCAATTAATGAGCGAGGACAAAGGTACTTTTCAAAAGATCTTTATGCAAACTCCGCACATTTCATAGTGAGGCACGTGCATTTTTCAACTATAGATGGCAGGGTTTAACTCAAGCTGCCTTATTGACATGAAAATATTGATGTCAATTATACTTAATCAATTCCCAAATTCTTTTTGGGCAATGCCAAAGACCTTATGCAAAATCTTAAGTTAGTCTTGGGAAGAGACTAATGCATTCAAATAGGGGAAAATAGGAAGTTTTGCATTGTTTTTACAAACAACAACTTGTACAATATTACAATTAGTGCTTTTAACCTTATTATTAGTATCACTACAAAAATTCAAGTAGATTATGATAATTTTTTAATTTGGTGTAGTCATTATTTATCAACCTTGCATCTAATAGAAGAGTGTTCAGTAATCTAATATCAATAATAAGCTAAGCCAGCAATCATGTAGTCTCAAATAATGTTGCTAGTAAAATACAAACAAGTAAAGAAAGTCAAATTCATAAGAAGAATCTACTTCTCTTAGCCAAGAAGACTTGAGGCTATTGTTGATTTTAAATGCATAAGGAATAGCAAAGTTGCTAGGAGAGATTCTAACAATTGATTTTGTTGATAGTTCCAATTGTTTAGCAAAGAGAGATAGATACAACTATGATAACAAAAAGAAGATTATTCAAGAAAAAATGGATCTTAAGAATCCAAAACAAAAAATTCTTAAGTGGATAATATGGTGTAATCACAAAGAAGGTAGAGGTTAGATATCCTTATTGAATACTAGTAAGTTTTTTGATATCAATAAGTTCAACAAGGTGCAAAATGATTAGATTAATCAATGACACAAAAATTTACAAGAAGAAGTAATATTTGTACTATCGAAAAAGATTAATATATAGCTAAATAGAATGTTACGAATAAGTTCAATGAAACAAGATAAAAATTTCAAGGATTTTTTATACAAGTCAATTTCTATTTAAGGTTACATTCATTCTAATATCCTGATAGATTTATTCAAGTTGGATTCATAGGCATACTTTCATTTGAAAAGACTCTCTCTTGATTTGTACCTTTAATAAAAAAAGGTTCATGACTCTTTTGCAATTTGAATTCATTTTTAGAAATGTTCACAATTATATTTGGAGATAGACATTAAGAAAAAGTAGCAGAGACCAAGCTCTTATCTTTACTACAAGGATCACGATCTGTCAAGGACAAGAACTCGATGAAAACTAAAGAGTAAGTGAGACTTTTTTCAAAAAGAAATAGGACAAAATAGAAATATGTATATTAAGAAAGAAACTGAAATGGCTATTGCCAAAATACAAGAAAACTAGAGACCCTTGAAACTAGACTGGAAGCAAGAAAGGAGTTGACAAGAGTGAAGAGGGCTTCACTCTTGCCTCTATATATACTATCTAATTAGAAGCCACGTGGCGATGTTCTATAAGACCTCCAATATATGTTGACTTTCTAGGCCACATGCCTTTGCTTGCAAGGCAAGTTTTCTATGGATGGACCACGTAGTTAGCTTGTTCTTTAAGCTTCCAACATGTGTGGCACATGGCTAACTTGTTGACCAAGTTTCTAACCTAAAAGTCAACTATAGACTCCTATAAAGTCAAAGCAGTGTCTACGAAGCTTCTAAGAAGTTTCTCTAGAAGATATTACACAATTAACCTACTTTTATCTACTTTTACATACTTTTATCTATTCATATAGGTAATTATATGTATGTCCGTGACATGATCATCCATCATATATATTGCTAAACGAGGAGCGGTGATTATATATTGAGAAAATCTAATATGCGGCGAATTGTATTTGCTACATACTCTGATCTTTGTTCTCTTCGAAGATTTATTATTGACAATTCCAAAGAAAAAAATCCTTCGAACAATTTATTATTTAAGCCATTGCATGCAACAATCAATTATTTAAAAGGTGTCAAGAACAAAGTTTTGACTCAAAAGGAAAAAATTACGTCATGACAGCAATTCCTAAGTTTTTAGAAACTTATTCATCAAAGCTGGAACTAATACAAATTGATACAATACATTTTAAATTTCTTATGGAGCACAAAAAGATTTAACATTATTAAAAAGATTTGTGCTTGTATTATAGAAATGCTAAGTACATTATTCAACATTGTCTAAGAAAGCAAAGCAATGACAAAATAAAAAGCACAATTGTCAAAGAAGACAATATGTTAGAAAACAAATTTTTCCAGCTACAACAAGAATTGTGAAACTAGAATCATGTCCAATACTTAGTAAAGGTCATATTTTTTTCTCAGATCCCTCACCTTATTTTACAATAGATGTATATTTAAGGCCTATAAATCACAAAGTCTTTGCATTATTAGATTGAAGAGCCTTAGTATGTTTTATAGATAAAGACTTTGTCAAAAAATAAGAAATATCTTTAGTTAAGAAAACTTAACCCGTACATGTAGAAGTCATAGATGGTTATTTGTTGTCTTTTAGAGGCATTACTTATAAAACTATTTTTTGAGATATAGCAGTTAAAGATCATAATAGTGTAGTAATATTTAATCTAATAAGATCTCCTTTCAATCCAATTATTTTAAGATTATTTTTAGTTAAAAAAATATAATCCTCAAATAGATTGGATTTCTTGTAATCTTAACTTTTCTTGTAGTTTAATCCAAAATTTGATTGTGAAATAGCAATAGATAAGCCTAGTATATTCAAACTCTTATTGATAGGTGTAATAACTTTCATGCATGAGAGAAAAGAAAGGCAAACTTTTGCTACATATGCTATATCCATTTTTAATGGTAGAAAGATATCAATTGGTATTCCTAGCTAGTATTAAGATTTTCAAGACATTTTTGAAAAGAAAAATGTAGATATGGTTTTAGAGCATTGATCCTATGATTGTACAATTGATCTACAAAAAAGAGCTCAATTATCATTTAGATCAATCTATAATTTATTAAAAAATGAATTGGATACATTTAAAGAATATATTGACAAGAACTTAGCTAAAAACTTCATATGCCACTCAAAATTTCCAACAAGAGTTCTTAATTTATTTATGAAGAAAAAAGATAGATCTCTACGGGTATACATAGATTATCAAGGACTTAATAAGATCACCATCAAGAATAGATATATCCTACTTCTAATTTTAAGAATTCTTATCCAATTAAATTAAAAAAAGATCTATATAAAAATAGATCTACAAGGAGTATACAATCTAATTCACATTAAAGAAGGAGATGATTAAAAGATTGCTTTTTAAACTAGGTATGGACATTTCGAATATAATGTCATGCCTTTTAGACTCACAAATACACCACTTGCTTTTCAACATCTCATGAATGATGTCTTTTATGAGTTTCTTGATGATTTTTTAGTATTTTGCTTATACGACTTTCTAATCTACTCTAAGAATATAAAAGAATATGAACTTTATATTTTTTGTATGTTACAAAAACTTAGAAATATAAGATTATATTCAAAGTTGAAAAAGTATATATTCTACACTACTTAAGTTTATTATTAGGATTC